TGAATGCATGTTTTACCTCGGACTGAGGCCTTCTCTTTTGTTTTACCGGGTGGAACTTCGGGTCCAAGCTCAGTTGATGTGTAGTGATATCCGGATGGATCCCTGTCATATCTAGGTGGGACCAAGAATAACAATCTATATTATCGATAAGAAATCTAACAAATTTTTCCCTGAGCTTGGGGGTTAACCCCGTACCCAAGTATACCTTTCGATCGGGTAGATACTCGATCAGTATGACTTGCTCTAGTTCCTCGACAGTCGATTTGGTGGCGTTGGAATCCTCGGGGATTATGAAGGATCGAGGAATCCAGTAGGCATCGTCCTCATTCGTTCCTTGCTTCTCCGATTGAGTCGAGGCTTGTGGCTGTGGTTGCTATTTAGCTTCCTATTTTTCTTTGGACTCTGATCCCTTTGTTGACGAAAGCGCCGATACCGGTATTACTTCGTCGATCGTGAATATCTCTTTTGTAGCATATTGTAACCCATACACCATTTTTACCCCATCCGGTGTTGGGAACTTCATCATTTGGTGAAGGGTTGAGGGGACCGCCCTCATGTTATGAATCCAGGGTCTTCTAAGCAGTGCGTTGTATCTCATATCGCCCTCGATCACATGGAACCTTGTTTCTTAAATAGTTCCGGCTACATTTATTAGTAGGGTAATTTCACCTTTAATTGTTTCACTTGCCATGTTGAAACCATTGAGAATCCGAGTTATGGGTACGATATGATCTTGTAGGTCGAGCTGCAAGATCATATTGGATCAATTATTGGCCGAGCTTCCTGGATCAATTAAAACACGCTTAACCTAAATTTTATTCATAAGTATAGAGATTACTAAAGCATCATTGTGGGGTTGTGATATCCCTTCTAATTCCTCATCATTGAATGATAAAGTGCCATCTGTCACATAGTCTCGAGTTCGTCTTTTCCTGGTGATTGATACTTTAATGCGTTTGAACACGGGCCCTTGTGGAATATCGACCCCGCCAACGATCATGTGAATCACATATTATGGTTCTTCTTGCTCATTTTTCCTATTTACATCCTTGTCTCTAAAATGGTTCTTAGCTCGGTCGCTCAAGAATTCTCGAAGGTGACCCTCGTTGAATAGACGGGCCACCTCCTCCCTTAGTTCTCTGCAGTCTTCGGTTCTATGTCCATGTGTACCATGGTATTTGCATATTTGATTGGGGTTTCTTTGTGATGGATCGGTTTGTAGGGGTATGGGCCATCTAGTATCTTTGATTCTCCCAATGGCTAACACAATATTTGATGCGTCGATGCTGAAGTTGTATTCTGATAATCGTGGTGCTTTTGTGGGATCGGCATGTTTATCGAAGTCACTTTTGCTCATGAGTCTTCGAGAGCTCTGTCCTCGATCGTTCCTTCGATCATTTCGGATGGGATTGCGTCCTGGGCCATTGTTTCTATGATCTGCGTTGTATGGTTGATACCGATCTCTTTTTGATCGGGGTTCTCTGTCGATATCCTTTTGAGTTCTGCCGACGGTCATGTTTGGATAAACGGAATCGGAAGGGGTCTCCCAATTGATCATCCTCGACCCTGATCTTTGACTGGTACCGAATATACACAGCGGCCCAGGTTACTGCTGGATATTCAATTAAATTTTATTTTAGCTATCGTGATACCACTGAACTGCGTTCGTTCAAACCCTAAGTAAAGGCTTGAACAACCCAATCATCTGTGACCGCTGGTAGTTCCATGTGTTATATTGGAACTGAGATACGAATTCTCTTAACATTTCGTTGTCTTTTTGTTTCACCTTGAAGATGTCCGACTACCTAGTTGCAACCTTTATCGCTCTGGCATATGCCTTTACGAAGGAGTCTGCAAGCATGGCGAAGGAATCGATGGAATTAGGCGGCAAATTGTGGTACCATATCATTGCTCCTTTCGACAAGGTTTCTCCAAATTTCTTCAGTAAAACAGACTCTATCTCATCGTCTTCCAAGTCATTCCCTTTTATGGTGCATGTATAAGAAGTGACATGCTCATTAGGGTCGGTGGTCCCATTGTACTTAGGAATTTCTAGCATTCAGAATTTTTTCGGAATGGGTTTCGGTGCCGCACTTGGAAGGAAAGGCTTCTATAAAATTTTCTTTGAATCCATACCCTTTAGAATCGACGGTGTCCCCCGGTATTTGGTCAACCCGGGAGTTGTATGTATCTACTTTCTTGTCATTTGCCTCGATTTTTTTTTCTCCCGATTCAATCCATTGAGCTCCTCAAACATTTTCATAATGGCGGGGTCAGTCCCCGACTCGTTGGCATTCGACCTTTCCGGCACAGGCTCGGTCCTTTGAACGACTTCTGGTTCGATCTTACTCGCTGTTCGATGTTGATTTTGTAGTTGTGCTATAGCGGCCTGTTGAGCCTGTAACACTTCGAATATCAATTGGAGGCTAACTCCACCATCTTCTCCGCCCTGCGTATCTCGACCACCTAATCGAACTTCCTTTCGGGCTCAAAGCCCAAATTTGCATTTAGGGCGATATGTGAATTGACATCGACGGGATTTGCAATTGGTGATCCCTCGAGGTCGGCTTGAGGCACCTCGATTCCTTTGGCGGCTATGTTGTCATTTTCCCCGTGAAATCCGAGGATTGTTGTCACCATGTGTAGGCGCTGCTTGTGAGTTTGATATGTTTATCCTGAAAATAAAGTTTCTTACGAGAATAAGTGTAAAGCAGTGTGTGTTATCAGAATCAGTATTAAGCAATCACTATTATCCTAGGCCCCACGGTGGGTGCCAAATTATTTACCCTTAAAATTGGATAACAATTAAATTTATAGTATGGCTCTAAGAACACGTGATTTTATTTAATACCAATTGATATATATGAGGATTAATAACAGAAATAAACTATAAAGTAAAGCAAACCAGTGTTAGAATGGAACTCAGCCCTCGAGTCTAGATACCCTCGAACTAGTTGATGCAAGAATAATTAAAATATAACAAGCTGATGAACAATCGTATAAACGAGAAAGAGAATTATATTGCTTTGATCTCTGTGAACCGTGGTCTACAAATGATTAGGACCCCCTTTATATAGTAGAGGAATCTCACTTATGGTATAGTTCTAATTACAGAAGGAAATCCCATGATTAGCTAATCAATCGTTACTGATTTGATCTGTTCCGAGATTTACGGCATGATCCTCGACCAGTCACCGAGATTTACGCCGTGTTCTTCGACTAGTCACGGATATCTTGTCTTTCAGTTATTATGCTATCTTCGATCTTGTTCGATGTCTGTCTCATTTGGCTTCGATCGCTACTAGCCTCGATCTCGACAGGTACCTCAGTTCTGAACTCGGTACCTTGTCCTCGTATTTTAGTATGATCCGTTACGAGGCCGTCCTCCGATATAGTTTTCCGGTCTCGGTCAAACAGTAAAATCGGGTGTGCCCGATTTTATCCATATACAGATAGTCTCCTCATTTTTTTGGAGTGCAATGACAAGAAAACGAATTGAACCTTCAATGTTTCTACCTCGACCTGTCAATCTGTCTACCACCATGAAAAGTTATGACATGAAATATATTTTTTTGTGAGGTAAGCTCTATTTGCCTAATTTGTTTTAGCATAATTATCATATATATGTTAATGGTCGACGAATGCTTAATGGTCATATTAGAAAACATCAAAATTAGTAGTGTGTCTATGTATATTCTTCTGAATTTAAAGATATAGCTAAATAGAAGAATAATCTTCAGGGTGAAGCTATATTATTAGCATGTTATTTATAGAGTAGAACTCTTGATGAGTTGTAAAATGATTATCTCCTTAACCTTAAATTTTTGAAAATGTGGGGGTCCGTGGTGTCCAGAGTTATATATCATGTTCCTAAGAAGGAAATACTTGAGAAATATTGTTTGTTAAAATTATAATGAGGCCTTACAAAATTGAGATTTTTTGTGGTGAAAATTTATATTGGAAGATCAAAAATATATTACAGTTCTGGCTCTGAAAAGTTATCTTGCTTTGGGTATCGTAGTAATTTGGATGAAGAAATTATTGAATTATGGCATGTTTTATATTAATTTGAGATATTTCAGTAGAAGTTAAAATTGCTTCTACATTCAGAAAATTTTATTTTGATATTTGAATATGGAAGATATCAAAAGAAAATAAATTCTTATATGTGTTAAAAGATGTTTCAAAAGGTACTTGAATGGAAGTCAAGTTCCATTTCATTTGAGATGATTTTATATTTTACTTGGAAAATACTATGAATTAGTATTCTATGTGTGGATTTTCCAATATATTAGAAGGATACATTGATGATATTGAATCTCTGATTCAAATATGAAAAACTCACTAGTGATTGTGTGATCACCTTTTGATGGGGTATTATGATATTGGAATTGTCTGGCAATGAAGTTGATTAAGTAACCTCTTGGTAAATATTCCACTAGGAATTAAATCGATAACATTTGTGTCGATGAATTGTGATTGCCAAGGCGCAATAATCATTGTAAGAAAATAAATCTTTCAATGAAAAGAGTAGACATATTCTCTTGAGACATAATGTGATAAAGCAATTGCTTAGAGAGAAATGTTTATACATATCATGTGTAGTCAAAAGAGGATTTGGCCGATCCTTTGACTTATAAGTGTAATATCGAGGGGTTGAGACTTTTACCAATTTGAGATGTATCAACAATGACGGTAACCCAACCTATGTGATTGGAGATCCCATGAAGTAGGTTCATATGGGTAATAACAAGTCATTAGTTGATCAAATATGCACTATTAAATTATGTCTCTTCATATGGTATGTGTGTATATAGTGCGAGAATAAGAATCATTATTCCGATGATTAGTACAATCATATGGAATATTAGGGGGTAGAGTCAAAAGGTGCTTTTGACAGATTGATCAAACTTAAAAAAAGGCACAAAGTTAGCTTTGTTGCTTTACAAGAGCCTTTCTTACATAATTCACAGTTGGAGAATTATAAAAGGAAGCTGGGAATGCATGGAGCTTTGGCAAACTTCAATGGAAAGATGTGGTGCTTTTGGGACTCTAGTTACACTTGTACAGAGATTTTCAATCATAAGCAGCATCTTACTTTACCTATCCAACATATTAGCTCTCTTGAAGTTTGTTGTGTAACTATAGTGTATGCAAAATCTAAATCAAGAAGAAGGAAGAAATTATGGGAAAGTTTGGAACAGATGAATAGTCAATTTCAAGGGCCATGGTCAATTTTTGGAGATTTTAACTGTATTGTGAATGCCAGAGAGAAAGAGGGGGATCACAGGCTGAGGAAGGACTTAGATTTCATCAATTGTATGAATGAATATGGTATGTTAGATACTGGGTATTCTGGTAATGACTTTACATGGACAAATAACAGAAGGAAGATGAAGAGGATTAGAGAGAGACTAGACAGAGTCTTTTATAATGATGAATGGTCTGCTACCTTTCCATTAATCAATGTAAGACATCTGCCTAGAACAGGCTCTGACCACAACATGCTCCTTATGACATGCTCTATAGAAGATGTTCCTCCAATCAAGTATTTTAATTTTTTGAGCTTCTGGACCGAGCAGAAAGATTTTCAGAAGATTGTGAAAGACTCATGGGATGAAGAGGTCATAGTTAATCCTATGTGAATTATGCAACAGAAACTAAAGAGGCTTGCTAATTTCCTCAGTTACTGGTCTAGAAACACAATAGAAAATGTGTTTGATAAGACCAAAGAATTAGAAGAAAAGATTGAAGCTATGGAAGCAACTTATGGGGCGGATAATAGCGATGTCAACAGAACTAATTCGCACAACCTTTATGCTGAGCAAATTAGTTGGATGAAAATGCAGAACAATCTCCTTAAGCAGAAAGCTAGAGTGAAATGGGAGTTTGAAGGAGATAATAACACTACATACTTCCACAGCACTATCAGGCAGAGGAGAAAAAGATCTTATCTGCACAGAATAAAAAATGAAGAAGGTAATTGGGTCCAGGGGAATAAACATATCTCTGAAGCTGTTGTTCAGTACTTCAGCAACCTATTTATCCAACCAATCCAAAGTACTGACTACAGGATTTTGAACAAGCTTCAGAGTCATATTACTGCAGAAGATAACATTTTCTTGGTTACTTTGCCATCTGATGAAGAAGTAAAAGATGTAGTCATGGCTCTAAATCCTAACAGTGCAGCTGGCCCGAATGGGTTTAATGGGTGTTTTTATCAATCTTGTTGGAGCATAATAGCTGTAGATGTTGCAAATATGGTTCAAGATTTCTTTAGGGGCAAAAGAATGACTAAGTTTTATACCAGCACCTGCTTGGTACTAATTCCAAAAGTAGAAGCCCCTAGTTCTTTTTCCCAGCTTAGACCTATCAGTCTAAGTAATTTCTCTAACAAAATAGTGTCAAAAATTGTCACCATCAGATTATCCACTATGCTTCCTAAAATCATTTCAGAAAACCAATCAGGTTTTATGAAAGGCAGACTAATAACTAAGAACATCATGTTAACTCAGAAAATCGTTAGGGATATTAGCAAAAGGAATATGGGAGGCAATATGGTGATCAAATTATATATGACAAAGGCCTATGATAAGATATCATGGAATTTTCTAACAGCCACCGTGAGAAAGTTGGGATTTTCAGAAGACTTCATTAACATTATATACAAGCTAGTGGCAGATGTTTGGTACTCCATTCTAATCAATGGCTCTAGATACGATTTTTTTCACTCAACTAGGGGCCTGAAACAGGGTGATCCACTCTCACCATCTCTCTTTGTCATAGCCGCTGAAGCTCTTTCAAGTTCTCTTAATTGCCTACATGAAAAAGAAGGTTATGTGGGTTTTTCTATGAGTAAGAAAGGTCCTCAAGTTAACCATCTTTGCTATGCTGATGATATAGTCATCTTTTCCTCTTGTCAAAAGAGGTCAATGAACATGATTATGAAAAAGTTACAACAATATGAACATGCCTCGGGCCAGGAAATTAGCAAGGAAAAAAGTTTCTTTCTCACCCATACTCACACCTCTCAATCTATAAGGGATAAAATTCAGAGAGTGACGGGTTACAAGCACCACCACTTTTCTTTCAAATATCTTGGTTGTTCTATATATTGTGGAAGGAAGAAGATTAGTTTCTTTGCAGACATGGCTACTAGACTTCTGCATAAAATTCAGGGGTGGAAGGGTAGGCTATTATTCGTGGGAGGAAGGGCTACACTAATTAAACATGTATTACAATCCCAGTCTTTGCATATAATGGCTGCAATTTCTGTTCCAAAAGCTATTCTAAAATAATTGGAAAACTAATTTTTAAATTTCTTTTGGGGGTATAATGACTCCAATAAAAAGTACCATTGGAGTGCTTGGAACAAGCTGTGTTTCCCAACTGCAGAGGGAGGCGCTGGTTTCAGAAGATTGGAGGATATAGCCAAGACCTTTACTGCTAAAATGTGGTGGAGGTTGAGGACTAATGATAATCTATGATCCAAATTCATGATCAATAAATATTGCTAAAGAAACATCCGGTAGCCAAGAAAAAATAATGTGCTGATTCTAGTTATTGGAGGGAGCTGATGGAGATTAGAAATAGGGTAGAGCCTCATATCTTGTGGAAAGTCCAACAAGGAAACATCTCCCTTTGGTGGGACCGTTGGAGTAGCATGGGTCAATTAGCACAATTGCTACATATTCAAAACCCTGGTAATCTTTTGGTGGAAGATTGTATTACAGAAAGAGCATGGAATATTAAACTCCTTGAATTATTGGTTCTTACCAACATGGTTCAGCACATCAGAGAAATCAAAATTGAAAATACTCAAGGACAGGATAGAGCAATATGGAGATTGTCTACTGATAATTTTTTCTCTTGCCTTTGATCTTCTAAGACAAAGAAGTGGACATCATCAAATGTGGAAGGACACTTGGATTAAACACATACCTTTCAAAATCTCATTCTCAATGTGGAGGATCTAGAAGAAAAAAATTTCAGCTGATGAAATTATCTTAAGATTTGGGCAACGTTTGGATTCTAAGTGTTCTTGCTGCAGACAGCCACAGGAAGAGACTATTGAACATGTTTTCAATACTAGTCCCAAAGCTAGAGCAGTATGGACTTTCTTCTCCAAGGCTTTAGGTTTTTATTTAAATCCCCAAAGCCTCTATATAAGAACACTCACATGGAAGAATCAGACAATCTCAAATTTTTATATCAAGACTTTGTATCACATAGCACCAGTTTACATCTGCTGGAAAATATAGAAAGCTAGATGTGGAGCAAGATATGGCAGAGGATATCCAACTATGGAGAGAATATGCAGTGAAATTCTCTTCCATCTAAAGATACACTTGAAGAAAGTTGGAGCACAAATTGATTTGAAATAGAACTGGTATACTCTTTGCAAGGAACTGGACAGTAGAAGACCTTCTTTAACTATTAAACTAGTCATATGGGAGAAACCTCCAAGTAGCTGGATTAAAGTTAATACAAATGGGAGCAGTAGTTCAAGAAATCAAACATCAGGTATAGGATGCATTGTAAGGGATGGAAATGGAGACTTAATTATGGCTTCTTCTAAAAAGCTTCATTTCTGCACTAATAATCAAGCAGAGATACAGGCTGCTTTATTTGCGGTTAACTAGTGCAATCAACAAGGTTATTGTAACATCATTTTGGAGTTAGACTCACTGTTGATGGTAAATATGATAACTAACAAGAATAAAATTCCTTGGGAATTGTCTCAATGGGTGGAGGAGATTAAGGATAGTTTGCAAATTCACCAATACAAAATCCAACACTGCTACAGAGAAGCAAACTTTATAGCAGATGTTCTCGCTAAAGCTGCAAGTAACATGTAAAATGGAGATGCTGTTTTTTTCTATAACTGGAAAGACCTTCCAAGAGATGCTAGAGGTTGCTCAAGGATGGATCAATTCCAGATACCTAATTTCAGAATCAAGAGACAAAGGAAAGGGAATTTCTTGTAAGTCTCCCAATTCTTTTGGAAATTTAACTTCTTTAACCTAGTTTTCTTTACACTAGGATCTCTCTTTGTTCTTGGAGATGTTACAGTACATGATGTGGAGATAACATGTATAATTTTGTCATTAAAAATATATATAAAGTTAGGCATGCCTAACTTACTTGATGTAGATGGAGAGGTAAGGTTTTATGTCCCATTCTTTGTGTGTTCTTATTTTGGATGCTAATATACAGGTTTGGGGTTATGCCTAAACCCCCCACCGTCAAGGTGAGTTTAAAAAAAAAAAAAAAAAAAAACCTTCTTATTGGTTTCCAACGTATGGCATTAAATTAATGTCCTTAGCTATGAAACCAGTCAAATTTCAGAAACTGTAACTTGCACAGGACTACTTCTAGCTAGTACCGTTTTGAAACTTCAGAAAGAAACAAATCTATAATTTAAGGCAGCAAAGTCCAAAAATAAATTCTCAAAATTAAATCATTATGTGCGCATGAGTGATGATATATACTGTTACTCCTAAATAAGCAAAAAACAAGAGAAATCGTAATTGAATTTCCATAAAGAGGAGAGACGTAACATGGATGCAAATTTATAAAAATGGCTACGACGACGACTTCAGACCATTTTTGTCAAATTCCTCTGCAGGTTACAAAATTCTAGTTTTATTCAGCACAATTTTTCTGCATTACCATGACGTCCATTTTATGTCAAATGACATATTATTGACGTAGCCACCATCCCTTTGTATACCGTTTACTAAAGAATACATTGTAGCATTTAACTCTAGCTATACTAATTAGGTATGCATAAATCATGTATGATCAGAGTATAGTTTATTTCATACTTCGTATTAAGCAAATTACAAAGCCTAAGCTATTCAATATTCATTATTACAAAATTAATATATTGAGTACTAATTTTCTTCATTCTCAAAGAATTACAAGATAATTATTCCCTTTATCTCAAAATGAATACCAAGGAGTAGCGCAAACAGTTCAATATTTGGATTGATTTCACGGCAATGCAACTTTTTTGTTTATATTTAAATTGTGACTTAAAAAACCTATATACAATAATGTTTTCACTTCACTTAATTATTAATGTTGTGGGAATTGGCAACATTGACATAAAGGGTAATTTACGTAATAACTTTCACGATTATATCTATTTCTTTAGTTTCTCTACATGCGTTTCCGTGAAGTTTGTTTATTAATTAGCTTTGTGAGTCGCCTTCAATTAAGTTTCTAAACTCTGTAAAGTGTAGTAATTAAGCAAGAAATCAGAAGATCAAGAAATGACTTTGTTGCAATGAAGGAGAACTACTTGAAAATAACATGACCTTGACAACTCTGTTGTTCTTTTGTAGGACAAGTTAAATTACATGTCTATTATATACCGATCACAAATAGAAAAGACTGAAACTTGCCAAATTTGACGATGACTTCTAAATCATAAGTTGATTTCCACGTATATCTTTGCAAATCCATTTTGTTGAATTTCGTATAGCACCATGCATCAATGGGTCATTTTCAATTATTACAACCAGAAAGGGTTCAATTTATGATACGTAGGTTAGATTTTCAAACATGAACTTGATCAGACTAAACATGGTTAAGAATTTCATACTTGACAAGTCTATTTTCATTGCTATATAGCCTTAGC